GTCAAAAATTAAACACGGATTTTCTTTTTTTTTTAATTAATTAATTAATTTATTTATGATAGTCACAGAGAGAGAGAGAGGCAGAGACACAGGCAGAGGGAGAAGCAGGCTCCATGCACCGGGAGCCCGACGTGGGATTCGATCCCGGGTCTCCAGGATCGCGCCCTGGGCCAAAGGCAGGCGCCAAACCGCTGCGCCACCCAGGGATCCCAAAACACGGATTTTCAACTGTGTCTTTAACCCTGCATTGTGCAATGGTCAACTAGACATCTCAGGCTATGTGTTGGAGCTGCATGTACCCCAAACTACCTCTCCACATGCTTGCCCACTCCACCCCTGCTCCTGTTAAGTGTATCACCTAAAATCATCCCCCATACCACCATAGGTATGCAATAAACAGAAAACACTGATCTACTCCCTCTTTCCCAGAGACCCACCTCAAATTCTTTTCCCTCTAAGAGACCTTCTCTGACAATACAGACCTCAGTGATCCCCTCCACTGCATTCATAAGGCTGTGTCTAATTATTCAAATGTTGCTGTATGACATTTCATTAAGGACAAAGACCATGCTTTATACCAAGTTTTCCCACAGCACTTGGTATGCTACCTGGCAAACAGCAGGCATTCAGTGAATATTTGTGGTTTGATAAACAGCAAGGGGCAGCTCTGAGTAAAAGTGTGAAGACCAAGTTTGACCTATGTTCTTCTACCTTTGACTGCTCTGTCACAGAAAGGACCATAGATTATACTCCTCTGAATTAGTCATTTTCTCCTTTCCCAATAAGTTTCAGCTGTTTCCTGATTTTTCTCGATCTCCCCAAATCACACTTCATGTGTTCTATATCTCATTATCATGTTGACTGTCAGCTAAGGTATTTGGTGTTTGCCAGTAGGTTTTATGCTGCTTAACTGTGTCTTACAAAATTTTTTTATCTTCTATAACATCCAAGACAGACCATGTGTACATAATAGATGCTTAATTGATATTTATTGTATAAATAAATGAGTACATGTTATATTGTTTGTGTCTTGCAGTGTTGCTATCTTTAGGAAAAAGTACAAAATCACTATTTCATGTAACATTGGTCAAGATGATTTACTAACTTTATTAATAAGTATACAAATGCTGTGTGGTTTTGACTTGAAATAATAAAAATGAAATCTTCCTTCTACCTTTCCTCCTTTTGGTCCACTTGGCCACTTTAAATGTTCCTTTCAAGGAGCAATGTAAGTCTCAATAGCTTTACACAGAACTGATGGTTCCTTCTCTGTATTCTGAGCACACCATAAATACTTCTGGTTAGGGGTGATCACATAATTTATTGCCAAAACCAGGACACAATGAGAATGAAAGTAGGCACAAAAATCTATCAAGACAGGATAAGGGGTGTCCCAGACAAACCAGGATGTATGGTTATACTACTTTGAAAGTAGTTATTTGCTAACCATATGTCTTTTGTCATTCAACTGTAAAGCTATTCTAGGTCTGGGCCTTATTTCTCTTAGCTTCCTTTTTACCTAGAACAGTGCCTGGCACATGGTGGTGGTAGAAGACATGTTAGTGCCTCTTTAAGAATGTTCTTTTAATTGCATATTATACTGTCTTGATGTAGAGCTCAAACCATCCCATTTGGGTCCTATTATGAGCCATTTTCTCAGCATAAAAATATAGGGCAATGAGCTTAATTACATGCTTGTGTAATGATAGTAGCTGGCATTTACCAGCATTTAGCATGTGCAAGGCCCAAGGCTAAGAACTTTGGTTGAGTTCTCTTGTGGATTTCTCACAACAATTCTTGGAGGTAAGTACTACTATGGTCCCATTAAATTAGAAGAAAAGACACAATTTGCAAGATCAAGAACCTTGCTCAAGGCCACCCAGCTAATTATGTAACAGAGTTTCAACTCCAGACTCTGATGCCAGAAACCATCTCTCCTACATGTGAGCTGGTACTACATTTTGGAAAGTGATTTTAAAATATTAATACCATACTTCCAGGAAAAATTCATGTGCTTTTATGTGTTGAAAGGAAAATATATTTAACTAAGTAAAGATTGCAGAACCAGGTCAATGTGGCAACTATGTAAGGTCATGAGTAAGGATAGACAAACATAAGCTTATTGTTCTTGGTGTTAATGTTTCCATCTGTTATGACACAAATGTACCCTTAGTTTTGTTGGGGATCATTTCTTGGTAAAGATTTTTATTTATTTATGCATAAGAGAGAGAGAGGCAGAGACACAGGCAGAGGGAGAAGCAGGCTCCATGTAGGCAACCTGATGTGGTACTCTATCCTGGGACTCCAGGATCACGCCCAGGGCAGAAGGCAGGCGCTAAACTGCTGAGCCACCCGGGGATCCCCAAGAATTGTATTCTTAATTAATTTTTTTTTTCTAGTGGCGAGAGAGCTGTAGCAACTGAATTAGATATTATCAGGGTATTCAATTGCATATGATGTATTATAAACATAGGGGAAACCTGAAAACAAAATGTTTATATAATGAATGTTAACCTTTATGAATAAATGATAGGAAATGTTACTTTTAAGGCATTCACACAAAATGACTACATTTGTGATTCAAATGAAGGGTTACAAACATATATTAAGTTTAGGGATTTTCTGGGGGGGGTTTGTTTTGTTTTGTTTTAGCATCCTACATTTCTTTTAATTTTGAGGTAATTATAGATTCACATGCAGTTGTAGGGATTTCCTGTTTGTTTGTTTGTTTGTTTTCCCCTAGGAAATTTTTAGAATCAATATGGCTTTGAATTTCAAGCCAGAAAGCTTCCTCTACTTTATTAGGTTATTCCTATTTAGTGAACTAGGATACCAGGATATCCCAGAAAAACTGTATTAAAGTCAAGTTTTCACTGTACTCAGGGTAACTATAAAATTAAAATGCTTATATTATAATGTACATAAGGATCTATGGTTAACTGATAGGTTGGGACCAAGAGCAAATTTAAAATAAAAAAATTGGTCTTTTTTCTTGCACTTTTTATCATCTCAGTGGATTTAAACATTTTTTTTTTTCATTTACCCTATGCGCTGGGGTACCTCAGCTGAACAGAACAGAGGGAATTCCATCTTGTTTTGAGGAAGACATGCATTAAAAGATAAACATACAATAAATAATAAATAAATAAATAAATACATAATAAAGATTGTTGTAAGGTTTAAAGCGTCATGGAAAGAAAAGAAAAAGGGTTGGGGTGGTTTCAATTTTAAATGGTGTGGTCCTGGGGGATGGTGGCTCAGCGGCTTTGGCCCAGGGCGTGACCCTGGCGGCCCGGATGGAGTCCCACCAGGCTCCCTGCAGGGAGCCTGCTTCTCCCTCTGCCTGTGTCTCCGTCTTTCTCTGTGTATGTCTCTCATGAATAAATATAATCTTTTAAAAAATGAGTAGTGTGGTCCGGCTAAACATCACTGTTAGGGTGAGATTTGAGCAAGGAGTTAAAAGAGGGAGAGTGGGCACTGAGGAAAAATGTACCTAAGCAGTAGTGTGTCTGGGATTTTCAAGCAAGAAAGGGTGATTGGAGCTAGAGTGAGACAGGTGAAGGGAAAAGCCAAAACCCAGGGCTTTGTAGACCACTGTAAAGACCTTGGCTTTTATACACAATGAAATAGGGAGCCACTGACGGATTTTGGCCAGATGAGACAGGAGCTGACTTTTTCTCGTAAGAGAATATTCTGGTTGTTGCTCTGACAATAGACTGAGTTAATGGTGGGCAGGGAGACCATTTAGCAGGTCACTGAAGTATGATCCAAGTCAGAGAAGATGGAAGTAATGCACCGATTGGTCTGATTCTGATTTGTTTTGTCAGGCTTGCCTGACAGGCTGGGGGTGAAGATCAGAGAAGAAAGGGAGCCAAGGACTCCATAAAGCATTTGTTCTGAGCAACTAGGTAGAAGGACTGTGGCTAGGTCATGAGCTGCTTTTTGAGCAAGGGAGAATTAAAAAAAAAATTATTATTTTTTATTTATTCATGAGAGACACAGAGAAAGAGGGGCAGAGGCAGAGGCAGAGGCAGAGGCAGAGGGAGGAGCCGGCTCCCCGCGGGGTCGGGAGCCCAACGAGGAACTGGATCCCAGGACCCCCCAGCCAGGACCGCCACCTGAGCCCACGGCAGACGCTGAGGCTCTTAGTCACGCAGGCACCCAAGCAAGGGAGAACGGTAAACTTAGGGGAAAAAAGAAAACTAATATGCACTAATATAGTCAATCCAGATGGAGGAGTCGTCTCTGTCACGACCATCGCATTCCAGGTGTTGCAGGCCTTAAAACTTAATGTAGGCATTTGGTGGAACGTTGACTGCCGGACGGGCACTCTTCCTAGAGGTGTTTCTGATTTCTGGGATATACAAAAGATACCGCTAAGGAAGGCTCGGAGAGCCAGGAGACCAGTAATTTCACACTCTAGAAATGTCAGAGGGAAGTTCTAGGCCGTAAAAAGCCGGCTAGTTAGGACAGATTCGCCGATCCCGACGTTTCATTAGTAAAAAGCGGTGGCCGCAGATTCCAGGGCATCTTCCTCGGCGGCGCTCCCCACGGGCAGGGGGCGTGCCCCAGGGCTCCGCGCCGACCCCCGCCGGCCCGGCAGCCGCCGCGGTCCCCCCCCGCCGCAGCCACCGCCCCTCCGCGCCAGCCGCGGGGCGGGGGGCCAGGAGGGGCTCGCGTGGCCGAGGTCGCCATCTTCCGGCGCGTCCTTTCCCGCGTGGGGCGGCAGCCCCGGCTCTCCGCCCTCCTCTCGCCTCGGAGCGGGGCTTCCCAGGCGGCGCAGCTGGGGGGCGCAGGGCGTCGCGGGGTCGCGCGGCTGAGCGCGACGCCCAGGCGGGGCCGGGGGGCGGGGCCGGGGGCGGGGCCGGGGCCGGGGGCGGGGCCGGCGCGGCGACGGCGGCAGCTGCGCGGCGGCGCAGGCCTCCCGCGGCTCTCGGGGCGCGCGCCGCCTCTCGCTCCGCCCGCGCGCGAGCCTGGGCAGGGGAGGGAGGGGCCAGGAAGCGGCGAGCGCGCCGGGGAGCGCAGCTGCGGGCGTGGGGGCGGCAGGAGCCGCGGAGCCGGCACCGGGAGAGGCTGCGGCTGGAGCGGGCGGCCGAGACAAAGGCGCGGGTGAGTGCAGGGGCGCCGGCCTGGGTCGCGCGCCGCCCCCCCTCCCTCGCGGCCTCCTGGGCGGGGGCCCGCAGCCTCGAACCCCCGCCGCCGCCGCCGCCGGCTCGCTGGGGAAGCGCGGCCGGGCCCTGCCCCCCGCGCGCTGCGGGCTGTGGGCTGAGCCTGCGGCTCCATTTTTCAGGTCTGGGCGAGGTCTTCCTGCGGACCCTGCCTTCAGGGTTTTTCTGCCCAGTCCTTCCGAGACCCGGTTTACACGCTCAGGTCAAAACTGTGGACGGGCGGGCGGCCGAGGGAGCCAGCCGCCAGCTTGCAGTAAAATGGAAATGAAGAGACCCCCCTCCCCCCAACTTCGCAGGCCTGGGGGGCGCGGAGGGCGGGCGGAGGGAGCCGGGGTTTTCCAGGGTGAGGGTTTCGGGGTGGGGTGAGGGGGGCGCTGGACCCCTGCCTCCGGAGTCGGGACTGTGGCCCGAGGCGTGCAGCGGGTCTCGCCGCGCTTCTCCCTGGGCGGCGGACGGAAAGCCCTGGCCGACCACCTCCTCGCAGGAGCCCGTGCGACTCGTACAGGTTGTCTTACCCTGCGCTTGCCGCTTCAGTTGGGATTTTCTTTTTCTTTTTTTGGGGGGTGGGGGGGGTGGGTAACGGGTGTGGTAGGTAGCGGCTCGCCGATGCCGCCTTCAGAGCCGAAAAGCCCCGATGGGCTGGCTTCGTGTGTACTTGAAACAACATTGGGGTTTCTTTTTAGTGGCTATGATTTTAAAGGATAAGCTTTTTGTACGGGGATTGGGTGTGACGATGTTCAGTTTCCAGAATTGACACACGTTGTTAGAGAGCCGGGCTTATCGTAGGTGCTCAGTAAAACGTTTGAATGAATGAACGGATCCTGAAACCACAGGACTGATTTCACAGGTAGGAAAACGTAGACACATACCCTCTTGACTCAAGGAAGAAGCGCTGAGAAACAGCATGTAGTTACTGTTTATATGCTTGTTTTCACCCACTGTACACACACACACACACACACACACACACATACATGGTGTTGATGATCAGCTGTGCTCAGTGTTGGGAGTGTAGAAAATGTAGTTGAAATGTGGGATTTTTCATTTTGAGGAAGAGGAGGTAGACATTTTCTGTTATTTGAAATTGTTATTTCTGATTTCTTGTGAAAGACTGAGGAATTAAAGAAGAGGTGCTTGGATTGTGTTTCCTTCTTCTGAGACTGCCAAAGTCTATTTCATTGTGAATAAAGCAGGCAGTGTGCTTTTGGCGGACCGTGGTGGCCTGGTCTTCGTTTGCTTTTTTGAGCTAGAGGTGTCTAAAGTTAGGGGGAAAAGAAAACTGATGTACTAATTAAACTCTACCGTTTATTCAACCGGTATTCATTAAGCACCCATTATGGACTGGCACCTGTGTTGGTTGCTGAGTTTCGAGAAGCAAACAAAACCCACAATTATCGCTTTAACCTGAGCGTGAAGTTCTTTCCTCATTATCGATGTTGCAAGTAAGGACTGTCTTACTTACACCCCCCACTGTAGACTTAAAGTTGGGAAAGCTGGCAGGTGGACTGCAGGAAGTGCAGATCCATAAGTCTATTTAAAGGTTAGTAAATAACTACATAGGGCTGAGATGATTGGGTTGCATTTTGCTGGTTTTAGTAAAATCAGTCTACATTTTAAAATGAAGGGAGGGAGAGGTTTAACAACTATTTTTTGTTTCCTCCTTCCATAGTGGATGATTTTGGTACTGTATTTATTGAAGAGTAATGTACTTGTGGTTGTTTCCTGTAAATGATCTTTGTGATACAACATTTTCTATTTTAAAAAAATGCCCAAGGAGAAACACTGGATTCCTTAAAACAAATGTTTTAAATAAACCACCTATTTGGATGCTTTATTTTAACCTTTTATTAGTCACTGTTTACAGATAAATATATTGACTTGATCATGCTACCTAATATAGTAGGTGATAATAGCGATGTTTAAAGATAGTGTCAGCAATGTCAGATATGTTGTCAGATATATTGAGTGTCAGATATGTTGAGTAAAAAATGCTTGGTGTATTTTGTCATCAGAGTTCGTGACTGTCAACAGCATTGAGACGTGTTGAATTTTTTTCAAGAAATAAGAACCCATGGTTAGGTTTTTGTACCTTAAAAAATACTGTTTTAGAAGTATTAATTCTCCTTTGGAGTAGTTTATAATGCTTTGAGTCTAAATAAATTCCAGGATCATTCCATTTTATAATTGTTGGAGTATTTGAAATGTTGATGCTTTTTTCCTCAGGGTTTATGTGTGTGTTAAACGATGGAAGTAGGGAGTTTGTTAAAAAAAAAAAATTTTTTTTAAAGACCCTTGAGAATGTTTTACGAAGTGTTTTCTTTATCAGATGTGGTTAATGAAGGGATTAAGAATGATGCCCTTGGGGATCCCTGTGTGGCTCAGCGGTTCAGTGCCTGCCTTTGGCCTGGGGTGTGATCCTGGAGTTCCAGGATCGAGTCCCCTGTGGGGCTTCCGGCAAGGAGCCTGCTTCTCCCTCTGCCTGTGTCTCTCTGCCTCTCTCTCTCTCTCTCTCTCTCTATGTCTATCATGAATAAATAAATAAAATCTTAAAAAAAAATAATGCCCTTAAAAAGCATTGCAGCTGTGCTCTTGTTTGTATAGGTTGTTAGAGAGTATCAATTAGCATTTGTATAAAACATTTCCAAAGTGCTTTGCAAGTAATTTCTCACATTTATTCCCTAGGACAGGTTGCTATTACATTTTTATGTCCTAGGTGTCATTTTTTGGAACGATTGAGGTTTTCATCTGCTTTAGGAGTCTGGGGTACTATAAGGTTTTTTTCTCACCATTGGAAATGCATGTTAGATTTCATCTGTTACAGTGTTCTTAATCTCAGTTCTCATGAAATATTTTAATATTTTATTGAAAATGTTAGTGTTTTTGAGAGGAACATTATGGGTTCCCTGTGTATTCTTGAGAAGAACTGAGTATGTGTGCTTATCCTTAATACTTAGTTAGGTGAGGGAATTTATCTTGATTTTTCTTCCATACCACGTGGAAAAACTTGGAATTTAACTTATTAATAATTAACTTTACGCATCCTGCTACCTCACTTCAAAACTTAAGAATTCTTGAACTTTTCTATAATACTGACAAATCATGAACAGAGCAGGATTTAGCTGAAAGAGTTGTGGGAATCCATCCAAAGGGAGTTTCTGAACTGAAAGCCAAAAGACTTGGTAATAAGTTGTCTTTATCATGACAACATAAAATACCTGTAAATGTGTTTTAGTCAAAATGGATTATAGTAAAACAAACTCCCTCTTTTTTTCCTAGAAAGCATTAGGTAACTCCATGTTAAATTTAGGTGTTTTTGAAAATGACTAAATGATGAGCACCGATATTTCCATTTTATAGCTTACCCAGTTAGAAATTCATGTTAAGATTTCTTGTTAAATCTTTGAATTATTGTAAACATCTTTTAGTAAAACATATAATTTTGTTCTATTTAGCTTGATAATACACTTTCACTTTTTGCTTAATAAAGCAAAAACGAATTTTTTGTACATTCTGCATTGTGTATATTTTGCACTTATTTGTGGTGGGAACCCGTATTTGTGGAACTGGTATGTGCAATGGATGGGACTTCATAAAGCTTAAGCAGGAAACAACTCTCTCTTCCTGTACCTTCAAACCATTCCTGTAGGTTGAGTATTTCCCTGCTCTGGATGAGCTTTTAGGAAGATCAGGTTGCTTTTCTAGTTAGTTTTAGGTAATAAAAATTCTTGTGCTTACTTGTCAATGATAGTGTTATTTTAGTCAGTAGAAGGCATGGCTCAGTATCACATTCAGTGTTAAAACTCTTAGACAATTTAGAACTTCTCTTTCTAGCTCAGAGCTTCTTGAGCCCTAGAAGCCTGCTTTGGAGCAAGAGTCCTCGTAGGTGTCTGTTGTTTTACCAGCTCCTCTTCACTGCTGTCCAGATTCATCTTGTCCAGGGTCCGCCTCAGTGGGGAATAGAATTGGGGTGAGAAAGGTATGATTTTAATGTGACTCATCCTGTTTCGCTCTGGCATTGGTGCCTTCTGAATCAGGCAGGTTTTTCAAAAGTGGACTTTCTCCAGAAGTGCTAGAAATGGTTTTCTTGGAAATTCCATGTGTGGGAACCTCCCAGCTACAATTCTTGTGATATAATTCTTCTATTACAGTCCCTTCACCTTTCAGTTTCCCTCAACTGCAGCCTCACAACGCCCAAGGAGAGGTTTTGCTTGTCTTTATAATAGTTCTATAACTTTTTAACCAGACCTGCCCTTTGCTAAGGTTATTTCATACCTCGCAGTTTCATGCATTCCACCAGAACCTCCTCATTGTACCTTTCCAGCTCCTTCTGTTAATTATGCCCACTTAAACAATAATTCTGTGTCTGGGACCTGCCCCAAGCCCTCCTTCCTCCACGTTCATGCTTTGAATCCATGGTCCACTGTTTGAAATTTTACTTGCGTACACCCTCAGTTCCCTGTAGCACTTCTTCACTGTACTCAGCTGGCCATCTGCCTCCCCCACCTCCAGTTCTCCATCTAGTCTGGCCTATATGTGGCAGTTGATTGCAGCTTGAGGAAAAAAACCAAAAAACACCAATACTGATCTGTTCTCCCTGTAAATTCAGGAGGGTTTTTCATACTGTCCACAGTTCTGTAATCTTAAAGATTGTATTTTTTAAAATTAATCTCTACATCCAAAATGGTGCTCAAACTCAGGAACCCAAGATTATGAATCGCTTCTTCCCCTGAGCAAGCCAGCCAGTTGCCCCAGTTTTGTAATCTTAGTATATATTTCCCTAGTTGAATTACTCTCCCACTCTCCTAAATTACTGTTTTACATCTCTCCATTTTTAAATACATATTTTATTTAACCTCAGTTTGCCAATATATAAAACCCAGTGCTCATTTAATCATGTGCCCCCCCTTAATGCCCATCACCCTATATCTCTCCTTAAAACTT